CTATTAGGTTGTTGTTGCCTCCCGTTGATAAGAGTGGAGTCAGAAGAGTTCTTGGAATTATGGGCTATTACAGGGCATTTATTCCGAATTATGCTAAAATCCCTCTGCCTTTGTCTAAATTGTTGAGAAGGGATCAAAACTTTATTTGGACTGAGGAACAAACCAATGCGTTTGACAGGCAGTTCTGTCAAACTATGCCTACGGTGATTGCTTCGGTTGCTACTAGTATATCTGGATGATATCCTCATCCACACGGCGACACTAGAACGAATCTTCGAATCACTAGTAGAAGTACTGGCAAGACTTAAGAACAGCGGACTACGACTACGATTGTCAAAATGTTCGTTCCTCCCAAACCAAATCGAATATCTAGGACACACAATAACCGAAGGCCAAATAGCCCCGCAGACCAGGAAAATCGAAGTAATCGACGCGCTAAAGGCCCCCTCCGACGTGAAAGGATTACGACAAGTGTTAGGAATGGCCGGCTACTACCGCAGCTTCATACCGAATTCCGCAGCCGTCACCCAACCACTGACGAAACTGATACGCAAGACAGCAACATACGAGTGGAAAGAGGAGCAACAGAGCTTTACAACCGCTTGCGGGGCTCCAACCCGCGACTGAAAGATTAAGAGTCTCGCGCTCTACTGACTCAGCTACAGCGCCCGCAGCAACGGGCGGTATGGGGCCTCGGGTGGTACGGGGTGTCGCAGGCAGCGTTGCGAATGATGCTGGCGTTGGACACCCCGTTTTTCTCCAAGACCGGGAAGCAGCTCCCTTGCTGGTGGTTTCGCTGCAGTTATAGGTTCCGGCGTGTGGTTGGTTGCAGTTAACACTGCGTGCCCAGGGCATCCAATTCCCACCCCCCGGGTTGTCCGCCAAATGCACGATAAGGAGCACTCACAGGTTGGTGGTCGGAAGCGCGTAGGTCTTGCGGGTTCACTGGCCAATCCACTCCTAGTCGGACGGCATAGGTAAACGTAACGTCGGAGCCCTCCTGCCAGACCGAATTGGGTATATAGCTCAGGAGTAGAGTGGCTGACTGCAGATCAGCAGGTCCATGGTTCAATTGCGTGTGCGCCCTGGAGGAAACTTATCGACGGGTGTTGAATCACCAGCGCGTGGGTGTTGCACGGCGCATGGCCAGGGGTTGGACCCGATCATCTGCATGCTGAGGCGGTACTCTTGCCGGTAGTCGGGCATTCGAGAACGTCAGTCCCAATACCCTTACCGATCCAACACGCACGGCGACAGGTGGGTGTTAATTGCCCACGCCACCAGCCCTGTTGGGGGCTGTGCCAACGCCACGTACACAGAGGACCACAACGCGAGTAAACACGGATACTTAACGCTCCGCGACCGCTTTGGTTCCTTTGGTGGAGGCGCAGTCGCGGGCTCGAGCCCCGCAGGCGGAACATGTGTATCCTCACCACCCGTTCTACCTGTCCAGGGTCGTCAGGGTGAAGTCGTCGCAATGTGCAAAGCTGGCGCTTGCTTCCTCGGAGCCTGGAGTTCGACGCACTCCAC